GATCCTAGCAGTCTTTTTTGTTCTGGCCATCCTGCTCTGCATAGACACAAATACAGTCGGACTTTGTATAAAGGGCAAAGATAGGTCCAGAAAAGGGCAGGCGGCACTCCTAGTCCTAGATTCAGCCGTCCCCGGTGACCGGCTGATCACTAACCTAGGTCGTGTCGTGTGCTTCCGTGGTGCCATTTCAAAAAAGTAAAAAATAAAATTAAGAGTAAGAGAACCGACAGTTACCTGAACGAGTGACGGTTGATGAAGTTCTGAAAATCCTGTGCAGTCGGCTTGTCAGAACAGGCGGTAGGCAGAAAAGGTCCAAAATGTCAGAGCAAGTTCAGGGGTCCGAATGTTCTCTCACAAAGTTCTCAAGTGTGAAAATGACTCAAGACTACTCTCCCTTATATAGGCGAAGTGAGAAGGCGAAGGGTCACTTTCAGAATTCAAAAAATTTGGGCGGGAAAATCTCTCGGCCTTTCGCCGACTGACACCTGTAGCAGGCCGTCGCCTGTTACAGTGCGACACCTGTCACAGGTAACACGTGACCAATCACGTGCCACCTGTGAGGGGCAAATGATTACGGGATTTTGCTCCCACCAATCGGAATGCGCCACGTGGGCCAATCAGGTCCTGCCAAGTGTCCCCCAGATGGAACTGTCAGGGCATGCCACGTGGCACACGCTTATTCGTCCACCTTGGACCTATTATGTCATGACACGTGGCATACTCCATGCCTAATGGAGAAACCGGCCACCCAGGCCCAACTACCGAGGGAAGCCCAATCAGCCCTAGGTTAACCTAAACCTAGGATTGGCACGTTTCCCAAGGTTATAAATACCTCCCTTAATCCTCATTAAGGGGGGATTACGAAAAAACACAGAGATTACACACAGAGTTACAGGCTGATTACGCTAAAAACTCACATTAAACACTCTCACCTAGAGAGACCCAATCACTTTAATTTCCGCATTAATTACTCCTTAATCAAGTACTAACTTGACCGTTGGAGGCGGAGCTCCCACCACCAGGATTCTCTGTTGTTTTGCAGGTACAGGCGTCCGGTTCCAGTCTCGGTATTGTAACTCTCCCGCAGGACATCAGAAAACCCCGAAACAATATATATATATATGTATATATATATTTTTTTTTTGACCAAAAAATATAAGTGTAACAGTTTAAAAAATACAGCCATTTATAACTAATACTAAAGTAATTACCACTGACATCACCATTGCCATGTGTTGACTTCTTATTAAAAAAATTCCCACCAAAAGTTATAAATGATATTAAAAAAATTCCCACCAAAAGATAAATCTAATATTTGAAAAAGGTAAATTAGTTATACATTTCTCACAAACTTTTTACTGACTAAACAATTTCTTATGGAGGTAAAAATAAAAAAAAAAATAAAAAAATGGTGATTGGTCTCTTTTGTTTTCCTTCTTTCCTTGGTTGCTCCTATATAGATTTTTTTTTTCCTTATAGTTTATTAGTGAGTTTATGAGTTTGAATTTTGAACTCTATTGATTCTTCAAACTTTTTATGATGAAAAAAAACCACTAATTGATATGATGCTAACATTTCATATATATATATATGTATATATATATATATGTATATGTATATTAATTATGAAGTTAACTAGAATATTTAACTTCATATTTTTTAAATTTAGCTCAATTTATCTAATAAGATAATAATTATTTATTATGTTTTTTCTTAAATTATTTATGTTACGCACATAAAAGCAAAATTTTTATTGCTAAAACTGTGCATCGCACGTAATTAACCTATTATTTAATAAGTGTAACACTTTTAAAAAAAAAACAAAGAGAGGATCAATAGAATAAAATTTTAACTGTAAAAATCAATAAGTTTAATTTATTAAAGAACACATACTCCCTTCGTGTTTTTATTAAGTGTTACACTTACCAAATGCGGCCGTGTTTTAATAAGTGTTACACTTCTTGTTTTGGCAAAAATTTATATTTTAAAAGTATATATCTCTCCTCTCATGGTCTCGACCTAAACCCACAACTGTTTTTTTTTTTTAATTTCTTTCCTCTCACATTCATTTCTTTTCCATAAATTATTAACCCTACTATCTTTATTTTACAATTTTATAATACTCCAACTATCCCACTTATCTCTTATTTTATTTAAGTTAATTAAATTGCCTAAATTTTATAATACTCCAACTATCCTACTTATCTCTTATTTTATTTAAGTCAATTAAATTGCCTAAAACTATATATGTTGTCAAAGTGTAAAACTTATTAAAACACGGAGGGGGTATAATAATGACTATAATACCCCGTAATTTGATAATTTTTTTAAGTATTTTATTTAATAATTATTTCATAAAATGGTAGTATAGTAAATTAACTCTTTTTTTTTTTGGCAAGGTATAGTAAATTAACTTCTTTATTTGAATATGGCGCCAAACGATTTTTCGAATCAAGATGCCGTTGAGTATTTAATTTCAAAAATTATCTAAATTAAACTATACTTTTTGTATTTATTAACTTTTTCTGAACCAATTGTATTTTATTAACTAGTTAAAGATTCCGTCAAATAATAAAAATAAAATAATTAAAGATAGATTTTTATTAATTTTTTAATTATTAAAAAATTATTTATTTTTCACATTTTTAAATGCTGGCCGAAAATTTAGGGAAAAAACTATTATCTTATTTATTTTTTCATCATACCTAACTTCTAAGATTCCCATGAACCACCTAAATTCTACCCTGGATACTCCACATAATTATATTCCAATCAAACTCTTAGAAAAGATGTTTTTAAAGGTAATATAAAAAAAATTGAAGGTGATAATTCCTAAAATGATAACTATAGTAGATGCTTAATTTCAAATATCCATATTTATATCTCTTGTATGATAGTAAAAAGTATAGAAGATTATTATAATAAAAACATATATAAAGACTAATTCAAGAATATATATTACGGAGTACATGAAACTTATGTTTTTATATATAGGTAAACAAGTTCAGTTTAAGAAAAATAATTCAATAAAAAAATCAATCAGTGTATTTAAGTGTGCAGCTAACCCCTATAACACTGACTAACCACTGACCGAGTAGTTCAATAAAATAATTTCAATTTAACAAAAAATGAATTGGACAGAACAAGGCCTTAGTCTATTTTTTTTTTTTTTTTTTTTTTTTTTTTTTTTTTTTTTTTTTTTTTTTTGTAGGGAACAAGGCCTTAGTCTATAATAAAACAAACATTAAGATAATGTCAAACTTATATTATAAGAAAAAATGAATATATAAATTTTGTTGATGTTAATACTCAGTAGCTTTTCTCTCCTAGCTTCTCTCTCTTTAGGGTTTTAATTTTCTTGACCGTTTAGGCCGGAAATAGTCTAATTTATTCAGAAATTTGACTATTTCTTATCATTTTTCTTGATTTAATTTGCTTATTTGTTATTGGTTATTTGCTTTGTTTTGATTTGTTTTGTTCTCGCCATTTGTGAGAGTCTGTCCCAATTTTTTTGGGTTTTTTCCAATTTTTTGGGATTTTGATTCTCATCTATGGATGAAAATATTATTTTTAGGGTTTTAATAATAATTGAAAAGGTGATTTGGATTCATATGGGTTTAGGGTTCGTCATCAAATCTACGATCAAAACATCAGCGTAGATTGTAAAGGTCGCTACTTGGAAAGATGCAACTGCTCGCGTCAAGTTTGAAGCGGTGGAGTGTGAGCTATGCCCGATATGCAAAATAGTTATGATTTTGATTGTAAAAGTTATGTTATTTTCTCTACATCTGTGGTTTATTTACAAATCTGTATTATTATTGTAAATACCGTATGGCTATTTATTAATGATAATATTCTTTTCCTGTCAAAAAAAATAAAAATAAAAAATAAATATATAAATGTGTGAAAAGATTAATATAATATCCAATTTATCATACCGGACTAGGTTAGAAATTAATAATATTAGACAAGAACACTTTTATTTTATATGAAGAGAGCAAGCCATATATAAGGCGTATTGTGTATAAAATAACCACTTAAGGTACACTAACCATAATTACTCCATCTATATTTCTAGGGGAAAAAGGTGATGGCTCCATTTTCGCTTCAAATTTACTTTATATAGAGTAGATTTGTTAAGCGGGAATGTGGTTTAACTTACTAAAACTTATTTAAACTTAACTTATAAACTCAATTAAATTTATTGAAATTGATTTTGGATATGTTTGGGAGTTAATAGTACCTTATTTATTAATTAAAGCTAATTACATTAGTCTAAATTTGAGAGTATAACTTTAATCATCTCATAAATCATGGTATAGTATAAATAAAGTCTCTTAATGGTCATTATATTCATGAAAAGTTATGTTAAATGTAAATACTACCTCCATTTCATAATTAAAAAATAATAATTTAGAAAGTCAAAATATATGTTTTAAGTTTGTTTGTAGTGGTATTAGCAATGCCGAGAAAAATCATTTCGAGGTTAAAGAATAAATGAAACTTAATTAATCTGTAAACAAAACAATACTAATAAGAAATAACATCATACTAAAAGAAACAAAAAAATCATCATAATGCTAATAAATAGCTCTTAATAATAAACAAGCAACCTTAAGAACTACTACTAAGGACGACATGCCTCAAAGAGGTACGTAACTATTTCAAACTTACTAATTAATAGTACTACGAGTCGTAGTATTAACACCAACTTATTCAAATCTCACTAATAAATCTAAATTAATTAAATACTAATCATTACTTAATGACCATGAGTTGAACGAGTAGCACTAGTGCACTCAGCATTAACTAGAGCCTGAACAAGTGAATCCTGGATTTTCTCAAGCCCTGAGCAAAATTGAGCATTGAAAGAAATCTTGTTTTTCTTAAAAAGTTCTTGTAGATTCTTCAAGGAAACCGCCTCGGTCGCATCATCCGTAGAGGTTGGTGGGAATGAAGGGAAGCCGGGACTAGAACTTGGTGCACCGGGCCATGGGAAGATGGGGAATTTAGGGTGTGGGAATGGAAATGATGGGAAGCCGGGACCAAAGCTTGGTGCACTGGGAAATGGGAACTTAAACCCGGGGCCGGGGTGTGGGAATGGAAACGAAGGGAGAGGACCAGAGCTTGGTGCACCAGGAAATGGGAACTTAAACCCGGGGCCGGGGTGTGGGAATGGAAACGAAGGGAGAGGACCAGAGCTTGGTGCACCAGGAAATGGGAACTTAAACCCGGGGCCAGGGTGTGGGAATGGAAATGAAGGGAGGCCAGGACCGGAGCTTGGTGCACCAGGAAATGGGAACTTAAACCCGGGGCCAGGGTGTGGGAATGGAAATGAAGGGAATCCAGGACCAGCGCTTGGTGCACCAGGGGATGGGAACTTAAACCCGGGGCCAGGGTGTGGGAGTGCAGGGAACCCAGGACTAGAACTTGGTGCACCAGGAATTGGGAACTTAAACCCAGGGAAACCAAACCGAGGCCAGCCGAACCCCCATTCAGGATTTGCAGCTTGAGTCTGCTTTTGTTCAAGGGCAAATGCAGACTATGCAACCAAAAGAGTTAGGAGAAATGCAAGGATTATCTTCATTCTTTTTGGTTTGTGAACGAGGGTTTTTTTTTTTTTTCTATTTTTTCCTCTTTTGCGTGGATGTGTTGTGTGATATTTGGAAGGAAGCTTAAGGGGTATTTATAGAGTGAATGAGTGTGATTAAAATAAAGATTAAGTCTTTAAGATTAATATTTAAATAATTGATATAGCTTTATCTTTTAGTTAGTTCGTTGTGAAAAATGAGAATGATAGAATGTATTTTGCAGTATATATGATTTACATTTATGGCTTTTAAGCTAGAAAGAATAACCGGATTACATATAAAGTATGGTTTGTATGCACATGAGGTTTATCATTTTATTTGTTGCTTAGTAAATTCAGCTCCGATCCTAAGTAAAATTAGGCAGAATCTCAAAGTGATGATTACCAAAAAGAAAAAAAAATAAAAAATTTATTATATATATATATATATATATATATATATATATATATATATATATATATATATATTTTAACAATATTAAAAACTTAATTTAAGATCATTTAAACAACACATTTTTTTTAATTGGTGTATATAAACATGGTGTAGAACCTAGCCAAGCTCGTGACCGTGTGTTGATTTTTTATTTTTATTTTTTATTTTTATATGCTATGTATACGGAGTAGATTTTGGAGATAGTTATTTGTACCTTTAACCCTCTTTTCTTTTTAATATCCGCAAGACTAGACTAATAAATATTAACAATATATAAGTATATAGTCTAACAAAAGTTTTTGAGTGCTCCGGATGTACAGTAAATTAGAAATTCTCACACGTGCCATTAATAAACTCATTATCCCCAATACTTTGTATTATTCTCTCTCCTCTCTCTTCAAACAAACTACCAAATTTAAGACCAAATTAACCTCAAATCACAAGAAGATTGTTGTTGGGATGATCTCTCATAGAGTTTTGCTTCCTCTGATATATATTTCTCAGGCTGCAATTGATCTTTTATTGATCAAATTTCGAACCCTAACGAACATTCTTAAATTGTGATATTTCGCTCTCAATTTTTTTCCGATTCAGGTTTCTAATTGATATTACGGACAAATTTCTGAGCCTTCAATAGACCTAACTTTGGATTTACAGAACGAGTGAAGTATAAGTCAAAAAATTCAGGTATATTTTCCATTTTAAAATCAAATTTTCATTTTTATATACAGAATTATAAAGATAGTTAGCTTTCTCTTCATTTCCAATTACCTGCTATTTAAATCAAGTAATCAACAACAAAGCTTTTATGTTGTACCACAACTATATAATCATTAATAGATTTACAATATAAGCTTATTGATCGCCGGATAATAGGTCGTGTCTACTATCCTAAATCAAATTAACAATTTATATTCCTAATCTTACTCTATCAAGTTTACATAAGATAGTGGCAAGCTAGGGTCGAACCACAAGGACTAAGTGCATTAATTTAAGCTAATTAAACTAGTAGAAAGGTTGTGAGAGAGAGAGAAACAACTAAAACACTACTTAAAGCAATTAAAAAGATACTAGGGAAAGGGTAATCCAATTACACTAATGAATTCAATAACAAATTGCAATTAGATGATCATGATCTCAATTAGGAACGATCAACACATTCAACTCACTCCCGCGCAATTAAGCATGCTAATTATCCTACTAAGCTAATTCACTCCAATGCAACTAGCCTAGCATAAGCATGGAAGAATCTAGACTCTCAATCAACTCACTTCCGCACAATTGATTGAAAGCACAATTAAAAACCTAGAATCAATTAGCTAAAAAGATTCTAATCAATGTAAGCATCATCCACACACAATAATCAAGAATCAATTGCATACTAATCACAATCAATCACTCAATTCGTCAACACAACCTTCATCCATTTCCCTAAAACAAAATCTAAGCAAACATAATGAAGGAAAACAAGGAAAAACTAGAATTAAAGCAAGAATCAAATAAGTAAACTAATTATCTACTCTTATAAACAAAGAATTAAGAAAAAACAAGAATTAAACAAAGCAATAAAGGTGAGAGAAAGTTAGAAAAGCTCATTGAATAGATGAGAAGAGAATCCACAAAATTGCTTCTTCAAGCTCTCAAATCTCCATTGAAATCCCAAACTTTCTCTCTCTAAAACTACTCCTAAACTAGAGAAAGAACCTCCTAATCTAAGCCTAATCCTCATTAGAGGAGAGAGAAAAAAATGTATAAACTTTTTCTTCAAGAACCCAAAAGAAAAGAAAGAAGGAAATCCGAAAATTAAGATCGAAAAACACCTAGAAAGCCGCGCCCGCAGTGGCAGCTTCTCTAAGGCATCTCCAGGAACTTGCAAAGGCTAGAAAAAGGGAGCAGCCGCGCTTGCGGTGGCCTAGGCAGCTTGCTGCCGCTGGCCGTGCTGCTCCTTGCTACCGCGGTCTGATGCTCCTTACTGCTTGCTGCCTTCTTTTGGCGCTTTAGAAAATAGCATAAAGGTTCTTGTGCTTGTATTTTAACCTCTCTTTGCTTCAAAGCTTCTTCTAGTGAAATTTCCAACCTTCTCTCGGGTCATAAAATGTCGAAGAAAGCGCCAAGTGAAAGGAATGGTGTCCTTCCAACAAGTGTATTATTCCGATAGAGGGCTCAGAATTATTAGAAAGCTAATTCTTCAGTGAGGTAGTGATCGCATGCCTAGGTGGAGGCCGCTTCCAATCATTAATATTAATGTGTAATTAATATTACGACGTAATCTTGACAGAATCCTTCGGGTCGCACCCCAATCGAATAACCGATCCGAGACGACGAATCAATCCGAAGGATTAGATGAGTCATTAGAGTATTACAAACAAAGACGTCGGATATCGAGCTTAGAGCATCGAAACCGAGCGTCATAAGTTGAGTCGAATTCGGAATTCGACGAGACGTGGAATCAAGCAAGCGACAAGTACGAGCCAGGCCGTAGCATCGCATTTGCCTAGCCATGCGAGTGCTAGGCTAGGCGAGGTCCCAAACCGCATGAGTTCTAGCGTGCCAAGCATTGCCCAGCACTCACACATCGCACAACCCGAGCATCGCAAGTTGCGTGCCATACGTGTGTATGCTGTGGCTATGCGTGGATGGCTGTGCGTGCTTGCTAGCATGGCAGCACCAGCCTCAGCATCGCAAGGCCAGCAGCGTGCAAGTGATTGTGCTTTTAAGCAAATATATTTGTGCTTTTAATCAATCATAGCAAATATGTATTGTATATAAGTTTGTGAATAAAAGCAAATGTAAAGTTGAAAAAGCTGTCCATAGTCAAAAGAGGCGAGGACAAAGCAATAAAAAAAAATGTAAAGCACAAATATATTTTGATGTAGTTATGATTTCCCTAGTTTAGGGCATTGAGGACAATGCTCCATTTAAGTTTGGGGGAAGCGTGCCTACGCTTTTTGTATATATGTTAGTAATTTTCTTTGAATAAGCTTGGGGGTGTTGATATTTTTGTTTGATTTTTGGTGATAATTTGGTTATGGTATTGAGAATTGGCCATTATTATGCTTCACAATTAGGTATACCACCAATTTTCAAATTTTTAGCCTACCTTTCCCCTTTTTGCCCATACGTTACAACACTTCAAAGACCTTTTGACCTTTGAGTCACAAGTCGGTGGAGGGAGATGTGAGTCAAGCTTATGGAGCGGTTTGCATAGTCAAGATGTCGAGTAGCCCTAAAATCTCTTCTTTTCCGGTTCCCTAGTGGAATCATTGAGATGCTCACTAGAGGTGAATTTGAAACTAGTAGGGAGAACGCTGTAAGATCATTTGGGATGAAGGTGAATTGTGTCATATTAGTTTTGTATGCTTAGCATTTCTTATGTTTCAATCAACCTTGGATATTTTGATGTGTGCACTCCTCTATTGTTTAGAAAGACTCGTATTCATTTGTGCTTGTTCATTTGCAAAAGTCCATTCATGAACATTTGTTTTCCTTCCTTTTCTTTTGATTTCCTTTTTATGCATTGCCTTGTTTTGCTTGGTTTTTTTCAAGAGTTGTGGGTTAAACTCTTAGGAAACCCTCACGAGAGCACACTCGTCCTCTAGAGTGATCTAGGGGTTTAAAGGGCTTGTTTTTAGTTGCTAAAATTGACCGTGATTCCTACGAAAGTGAGTTAGTGTACATTCTCATCTCCTTTAGTGTTCTAGTCTTTCTTGAATAAATACTTCTCCTTTTCTCTTTTGGTTTTGTCTTGCTCGAGGACGAGTAAGAGTTAAGCTTGGGGGAATTTGATAAGTATCATTTATAACACATTTTAGGGCGTTTTTCTCCCTTAGTTTTAGGTTTATTGGTGTTTCTTTGTTATTTCTATTCCTTTTAGTCTTGTTTCATTTATATTTGTCTTAGCTTATGGTTTTAGGCCTTAGTTGTGAATAATATGCTTTTTGCTCGGTTTCTAGCTTGATTTGTGTGGTTTTTCTATGTGTTCTTTCACTCTTTTCTCTCTTGGTCTATTTGCGTAGGTGCTTGACGCTTTATTCGATGCTTATGACCCGAGAAAAAGGCAAGAAAGTACAATAGAAGAAGCTTGAAGCTAAGAAGATTGAGGCAAGAAAGCTTGAAGCTCGTAGAAGGCCTTAAACCAAGTCTTGTGCACTCTTTCAGCCATAAATTTTGATCTACACATTGGATTGAGGTGATTAAAATTGTGTTGGAAACTAGACTTCAAGAGCTTTCCAGCGGTAGGTCGCGCGCCCCAAGAGGCCTCCTAGAATAGAAGATATGGTCGTTTGAATCTGCAAAACTTTACCAGGCTGCGCAGCCACCGCGGGCGCGGCTAATGATGCCGCGGGCGCGGCCCTCTGTTCTTCCCAGCTGTTGCAGCTTTCTGGAGATGCCTCGGAGAAGCCTTGCTGCGGGCGCGGCCATGCCCGCCATGGGCGCGGGTTTCTGGGTCTTTTTCGAGCTTAATTTCCGAATTTCTTTCTTTCTCTTCT